CTCGCCGAAGGTGACGGAGCTCTTGGGCGCAAAGCCTTCTTTGTCTCGCGCCTCGATCGACTGCGACGCTTGCGACGCTTGCGACGCTTGCGACTCGCGGGCGCGGAGCGCCTAAAATCAGGGCGGCGGCGGGTAGCTCCCCCAAATGGCTGGTCTGCCTGGATCTGAAGCGCCCATAGTTGGTTAAATTACGAAACTGGTCCAACAAGGGTAGGGAGGGAGGAACAAGCAGAAAGTGTGGGAGCTTCTTCTAAGTGACTCTTGAATGGAAATGAAAAAGATTCAAACCATGGGGGTATTCTGCCCTGTAACTCGAACCCAAGCTTCGGATTCAATTGCCAGCCCCTGAGTCCCTGATGTTTCTGGGTCCCTTCTGGCTCTTCATGGTCGCTATGGCCTTGTGCTTCCCGTATCCGAGCTGGGGGTCCAACATTTGCCAGCTTTGGTTGAAAAGCCAGGGGATCCTAGGTTCATGGCTTACTCTAAGCCTGCGGCCAAAATCTCCCTCGGGGAGAGCGAGGATGCTAGCACTTCGGGAGGTGCAAGCATCACAGCAAGCGCCGGAAGCTCAACGCTCTGCTCCCCAAATCACGTCGAAGAGCACCAAACTTGGGCAGACATGTGCTTCATTTGACTGCTGTTGTGTCGTATAATCGCGACAACACTACCCTGAGCCCCTTTGTGTTTTTTTCATAGGGCGAAACGTGAGCCCTCGAAGCCTGATGCTGGGAACCGGTACATTCGAAAAAGTCGGAGGATGTCCGGTGACGTGTGCACTCTGAACTGTTTTTCTTGGCGGGATGTGTCCAGCTGCGAGCCGATCAGACGCGGATGACCCATCCAAGGCGCAATCCATGTCGTGACATTGACTTTGAGCCTTGCTTCCAAGGTCCTACTACACACCTCAAGTGGATATACCTCAAAATCAGCTGCTGTAGATCTTATGCAGAGGTTGTACATGGGCCATGCAGGGTACATACACCATAAACCATCTCGATGCATGGCTTCTAGATGGGTAATTCCGTCCTTTTGGGTTATAAAAGGAGGACCTTAGATGGTATAAGGCCCATTGAATGAGGAGTCCATATTAGTTGCAATATTAGAAAGTGCATTTACACAGGCATGTCACCAGGTTCCACGGTAAAACCTTCCCCGGAAAATGTCATACCCCGCTCCGGCCGCTTGTTTTCTCCTCAGCAGCTTCCGAGACCACATTGGGAGGTTGTCAAACCTGAGGGTCCAAAAAGGGGCACCCATTTTGACAACCCCCGCAGAGGCCCCATTTGTCTGCGTCAACCCAAAACGGGTCTGTTCAAAACGGCGGGCTGATCCCGCCCGCCTGGTTGGAACCGGCGCGCGGAGCTCCCAAGAAACCCCATCCGCACACGAGGACCCGAAGGCCTCGAACGGCCACCTCGAAAGGTGAACTCAGTCGCCAGGTCCAACTCCGGAGAGATAGGTCTCCAGGTTGTCCTTCTGCTTCCATCCCATCTCGGCGATGCATCCTGATCAGTCCAGGTCGATCAGGTCCTTGGGCCAAGATTTGGTTTCAAAATAGGCAAACCCTCAAAAGGCTTGGATCGTTTGGATTCCTTTTAAACCAACCTGGCGAGGGTACCCTTCAAATATAACGGACCGGATAGCCTCGCACACCTGGCTTTTTCTAAAGCGAGTGTAAACAGGCTGAGTAAGAGTAAACATGTGTAAGTTGGTGAGTGTCAGTTGAGCGAGCGAGAGTAAGTTTGCGCCACACAAAGCAACAAAGGCGTGTGCAAAGTCAGGCGCCTGCTACGCAAAACGGCATCACCATGCACAAAGCACTGCGCCTGCCACGCAAAACAGCATCCACATAAAGAAGTACTGCGATGTCATGCCAATGGCATCGGCGTGCACAAAGTACTGCGCCTGCTACGCAAAACAGCATCAGCATGCATAAGTTTAGCGAGTGAGAGTAAGTGTGCAAAAGTGACTGAGTGTAAGTTGGGTGATTGAAAACAAGTATGCTCGAGTTAGTGACTGCAAGCTGAGCGAGTGAGAGTACGTCTGTGTGATGAGTGAGAGTAAGTGTAAGTGTGTGTGTGTAAGGTGAGTAATTAAGAGTGAGAGTGTTTGAAAGTCAGTGAGTCTAAGTTGAGTGAGTAAGATGAGTAAGGAAGGAGAGGAGAGGGAGAAGAAAACGGCGCGCACGACGCAACTAAAAGTAAGAGCTTTGTGCAAGAGTGGAGAAAAAATCAAAACAAGCCGATTCAAGACACTCAAACCCCGAAGTCAGCCCAAGGCGCGGGGAGCTCATTGGCCGGCTTCAATTTGGCCTGCACATCGGCTGACTTCTGGGGGGCACAAGATGGGATATCTCAAGGTCGCTTCACAGCGGGTCCGTTTGGGGGGAACCCCCTGGTTGACATTCCGGGAAGCCAAAAGGACATCTAACTAGCCAAGGGGTGTCCTTTTGAGAAAGCCAAGGAACTGGGGCTTCCTTTTGACAAAACCAAGTTTCTTGATTTGGCACCCCTTACTTTTGGGAAGCGCTTGGTTCCGAAAGACTCCTTTCAAGGCATCTCAGGTTCAAAAGGCATCCAAACTGCAAGGCTATCACCGCTCAGAATTCGTTGTATAAAGCTTGGCCGAGGCAGCAAGGGGTCTGATCCAAACAAGAATGCCGGGGACTTCCAAGAGGGATCCTTGGGTCGCCATTCTATGCTCCCTAAGTGCGTGGTCTGCGAATCCCTATTAAGGGCTTGACTATGACTCAAATAGGTTTGTCACCAACTAGCATACCCAGAGAAACTTGGATTTCCGATGGCAATCAACCCCCGGCACCCGCTAGAAAGACTGATGGGTGATGGGAGACCCGTTATTCAGGATCCCTTGGAGCTCGATCGAGGCATTGCAAGTTTTTCCCCAAACAGCGAAGCATTGGGGTTCTAACTTGAGGTATAGAATGGGAAAGTGTGACGCCGGTTCCGGGGTCCTGTTTTCCGCTTGTCTTCCTGTCTCCCAGTCTCGTCTCTCCGGTCAGATGCCAGATTCTCCCGCTTGTCTCCCTGTGTCTCCCAGTCTCTGCGGTCAGATGCCAGATGCTGTGACGCCGCTCCGGGGTCGTGTCGCCCGCTTGCTCCCAGTCTCCGCGGTCAGTGGCTTGTCTCCCGCTTGCCTCCCTGTGTCAGATGCTAGATGCTGTGACGCTGGCTCCAGGGTCGTGTCTCCCGCTTGTCTCCCTGTGTCTCCCAGCTGTGCGCCGCTCCGGGGTCGTGTCTCCCGCTTGTCTCCCTGTGTGTCGTGTCTCCCGCTTCGCTTGTCTTGCTGTGTCTCCCAGTTTCTGCGGTCAGATGCTAGATGCTGTGACGCCGGCTCCGGGGTCGTGTCTCCCGCTTGTCTCCCTGTGTCTCCCAGTCTCCGCGGTCAGATGCCAGATGCTGTGACGCCGGCTCCGGGCTTGTCTCCCGCTTGTCTCCCTGTGTCTCCCTGTCTCTGCGGTCAGATGCTGGATGCTGTGACGCTGGCTCCAGGGTCGTGTCTCCCGCTTCGCTTGTCTTGTGACGTCTCCCGCTTGTCTCCCTGTGTTTCCCAGATGCTGTGACGCCGCTCCGGGGTCGTGTCTCCCGCTTGTCTCCCTGTGTGTCGTGTCTCCCGCTTGTCTCCCTGTTTCTCCCAGTCTCTGCAGGGCTCCGGGGTCGTGTCTCCGGCTTGTCTCCCTGTGTCTCCCAGTCTGCGCGGTCAGATGCCAGATGCTGTGACGCCGGCTCCGGGCTTGTCTCCGCTTGTCTTTCTGTGTCTCCCAGTCTCTGCGGTCAGATGCTAGATGCTGTGACGCTGGCTCCAGGATCGTGTCTCTCGCTTGTCTCCCTGTGTCTCCCAGTGTTGTGACGGACGTCGGCTCCAAGCTTGTCTCCCGCTTGTCTCCCTGTGTCTCCCAGTCTCCGCGGTCAGATGCTAGATGCTGTGACGCTGGCTCCAGGGTCGTGTGTCCCGCTTGTCTCCCTGTGTCTCCCAGATGCTGTGACGCCGCTCCGGGGTCCTCCGGGTCGTGTCTCCCGCTTGTCTCCCTGTGTCTCCCAGTCTCTGCGGTCAGATGCTAGATGCTGTGACGCCGGCTCCGGGCTTGTCTCCTGCTTGTCTCCTTGTGTCTCCCAGTCTCGTGACGCTGGCTCCAGGGTCGTGTCTCCCGCTTGTCTCCCTGGTCTCCCACATCCTCTCTCCGGGGTCGTGTCTCTGGCTTGTTTTTTCCTGTGTCTCCCAGTCTCCGCGGTCAGATGCCAGATGCTGTGAGGCCGGCTCCGGGCTTGTCTCCCTGTGTCTCCCAGTCTCTGCGGTCAGATGCTAGATGCTGTGACGCTGGCTCCAGGATCGTCTCTCGCTTGTCTCCCTGTGTCTCCCAGTGTTGTGACGGACGTCGGGCGTGGTCAGATGCTAGATGCTGTGACGCTGGCTCCAGGGTCGTGTATCCCGCTTGTCTCCCTGTGTCTCCCAGATGCTGTGACGCCGCTCCGGGGTCCTCCGGGTCGTGTCTCCCGCTTGTCTCCCTGTGTCTCCCAGTCTCTGCGGTCAGATGCTAGATGCTGTGACGCCGGCTCCGGGCTTGTCTCCTGCTTGTCTCCTTGTGTCTCCCAGTCTCGTGACGCTGGCTCCAGGGTCGTGTCTCCCGCTTGTCTCCCTGGTCTCCCACATCCTCTCTCCGGGGTCGTGTCTCTGGCTTGTTTTTTCCTGTGTCTCCCAGTCTCCGCGGTCAGATGCCAGATGCTGTGGTCTCCCTGTGTCCCAGTCTCTGCGGTCAGATGCTAGATGCTGTGACGCTGGCTCCAGGATCGTGTCTCTCGCTTGTCTCCCTGTGTCTCCCAGTGTTGTGACGGACGTCGGCTCCAAGCTTGTCTCCCGCTTGTCTCCCTGTGTCTCCCAGTCTCCGCTAGATGCTGTGACGCTGGCTCCAGGGTCGTGTATCCCGCTTGTCTCCCTGTGTCTCCCAGATGCTGTGACGCCGCTCCGGGGTCCTCCGGGTCATGTCTCCCGCTTGTCTCCCTGTGTCTCCCAGTCTCCGCAGATGCTAGATGCTGTGACGCCGGCTCCGGGCTTGTCTCCTGCTTGTCTCCTTGTGTCTCCCAGTCTCGTGACGTGTCTCCCGCTTGTCTCCCTGGTCTCCCACATCCTCTCTCCGGGGTCGTGTCTCTGGCTTGTTTTTTCCTGTGTCTCCCAGTCTCCGCGGTCAGATGCCAGATGCTGTGAGGCCGGCTCCGGGCTTGTCTCCCTGTGTCTCCCAGTCTCTGCGGTCAGATGCTAGATGCTGTGACGCTGGCTCCAGGATCGTGTCTCTCGCTTGTCTCCCTGTGTCTCCCAGTGTTGTGACGGACGTCGGCTCCAAGCTTGTCTCCCGCTTGTCTCCCTGTGTCTCCCAGTCTCCGCGGTCAGATGCTAGATGCTGTGACGCCGGCTCCGGGCTTGTCTCCTGCTTGTCTCCTTGTGTCTCCCAGTCTCGTGACGCTGGCTCCAGGGTCGTGTCTCCCGCTTGTCTCCCTGGTCTCCCACATCCTCTCTCCGGGGTCGTGTCTCTGGCTTGTTTTTTCCTGTGTCTCCCAGTCTCCGCGGTCAGATGCCAGATGCTGTGAGGCCGGCTCCGGGCTTGTCTCCCTGTGTCTCCCAGTCTCTGCGGTCAGATGCTAGATGCTGTTGATTGCTTAAGAATATGTGTCTATTTGTTGGTGGGCTCCCCAGTTTGACCGTTTGGCTATGCATTCTTGGTGCTCCCGTTATGAACAAACCACTGAAACACGGACGAACCCTCGGTGCTACCCTCACAAGCCAGGATATAGCTGCGGGTCAAAACCAATGGTACCATTTTGGGAGGTGCGCCACCCATTTTAATGGATGTTCACTGGGTACAGGATTTTGACCCATGGCCATGTGTTTGGTTTCTGCTGTTGGCTTCAAAGGGAATCAGACCTGTTATGCTTTCTTGCTGTTTGGGGTCGAGGCTGGTGTAATTGTTAGGGGATTAGAACTAAAACAACAAAGAGGACAAGGAGCAACAGAATGGCACCCTAAGAGTTGTATCCAAAAAAACATAAAACGTTAACTATGCTATCACTTTACATCACTGCATAACAACAACGGGCAGTCCAAAAAAGAGCAAAGACCCCCGCCTCCGGCGTTGGCCTCCTGACCGGTGCCCGGACGGCCTGAGACGTGGATGAGCTCGGAGTTTTTTGAAGCCCAGCCGAGCTCATGAGAGCTCATGATACTCTTAGCTGTGCAAATTACATGGTTCCCGACAAGGTACATGGACTAGGACTTGTCCTGGGAAACTTGAGCAACTCCGAACCTGGGTGGTTTGAGGCCTCTTCGGGCGGGTTAAAAGGGAACCCCATTCCACACCTGTAGATTAACATGAAAAAGCCTATCATCTGGAAACTCTTTTGGGGGGTACTCCCTTCAAAGGACGCCTCTCGGTGTCACAATCTCTGTCTCTCCTTCATCTAAGCTGCGCACCTGTGCAGTTCTCACATACCCGGTGGGCTTGTAGTCCTGTCGGCTGAGCCATGGCAAAGCTTCAGGAAACAGAGGACATGTGTGCCAAATGCCCAAAGAAACAAGGATTTCTTTGAGGCTCCGAAAGGGCTGGTGTCTTGGATGAATGGGTTCTACCTTCTAGGGGTTCCTATGGGATGCTATACATGACAGGGTGGAACCCACTTTGGGGCATCTTTGTTCAGGCAAACCGACAGCCACTCAGGGAATTCTGGAGTTCCATCCCTACGCATTGGATTTTTCGGAAATGAGCGAGCGATTCCCTGGTCTCCCAAAATGGCTTTCTCCCCTCCGCGGCCCTGTGCCGGGGATGGATGAAATGGGTTCATCGGACCGGGATAGGGGCAGCTTTTGCTTGAAGCTGTTCAATGTTTGGGAAACCATTTCTGTTGTCCTTTTGGCTCCTTTTGAACAAGGCTTAAACTGGGTAGAAGGCGCAGCCGAATTGGTCCTTCCAGGTCCCATCCAAGACCGGATCGACATGTCTGGGCGGCCTGCTGCCTGGGCGTCCAAGCGAACATGTAGGAAACACTTCCTCACTTCCGAACGAGTGGATGGGCCCCAAAAAGCCGCCCAACTGTTGAGACCACTAAAATGGTCTAGGCCCAAAAAGGTCATTCGGCTGTGGTTTTGGTCGCTGCCCAGATTCTGGGTGCCTTTCACTCGTTTTCTTTTTGTTGGCGCTGGTACAGCCCCTTCTCCCCAAGCTTAAAGTCCAGAAGTTCCTCCCAGCACCTGCAAGGTGCCTGGAACATCAGTTTTCTCTTCGGACCCTTTGTCAGGTGCCATGGCGTGGCAGGAAGGGGAATTGACATCAGGTTCCCCTTTGGTGGATTGGTGAGGTCAGGGGCTAGCTGCTCATTTATCCACAAGCGCTGACAAGAATTGAAGTACCTGACATTCGCAACCAGTGATGCTTTCCCTTCCAACACGGTTGCACCGTCGCCTCTAAGCGCTCAGTCCAAACAGTTGGTTTTGCGCGCGGCATTCAGCCACCCCGCTGGCTTCCAGTGCGCAAGCCTTTTTTGAGCTGTTTCGGGGGTGGTCTTCTTGGAGACAATTCAGGGGGGGAACAAATTTGAGGTTTCCCCTGTTTTTGAGACAACCACACATCTCCGCCAGAGATGACCGCATATCATCGCGTCATTCCAGTTTCCCTGACAGCTTCACTGGGTGATCACGTGTCACCATGGCCAAAAGACCTTGATGCATTTGTTTTTTATGCATTCGGACTTCTTGTCACATGCGGGTTGTCCTAAAATCTTTGGCCCGGGATTGGGTCCATGGGCCGCACTTGCGCAGCACTTTGGGCGCGCGCGCGCGCGCGGTAAGGCATAGCCATTCAACAAGCAAAGGCATTCGAAGGGCATTCAGGGCTCGCTAAGAATGTGAGGCAGCAAAAGGGTAGATGCCTTGCTGGGGCTTCTTGTGCTTGTGCTCCGCTTGCGCGCAGCTTGCTTGCGCGGGCGGGTTTGGTCGCGTCAGTTGATGTTTGCAACTTCCTTTCATGAAGCCTTGCGCATGAAACCCTTTGAAACTTTAACCTCGCGCATCCCTTGCACCGCACTTGGCGCACGCACAGCTTTTGACAAGTTTTACTTCTCCCCGTTCGGCAATCAGAACAGAAGACTGGGAGTTTGGGACGACCCCATGCATTTAGACCCAGCCGCTTTCGGCCTCCCTCTTAAGAGGAGACCATGGTCCGAGCGTTTCAATCGTCGCCCGGCCTTGCCATGATCCAACCTCCCGGCGAACGCTGTGCCTGCCATGGAAGGCACGGGTCCTGCGGATCTGCAGCCAAACTCGATTGGAATGTGAAAGAAAGCTGAGGATAAACTAGCTTTCTCAGTGCTTCGAATTGCCAGTAGGTAACCAGGCTAGGTTGCACACCTGGCCTACTGTTGCTACAACTGGAAGCACAAGGCCTTCAGGGGCAATTCCCGAAGTATTCCAGGAGTTCATAGTTAATTAGGTTCTCCAGTAGCGAGGTCAGAATAAGCGTGCCCTTTTTTTGTGGTCTGCTAGGGGAACCCTCGCCCAAAAAAGGTTAAAGGGCACTACTGGGGGACCTAGCTAAGACTGAAAACTGAACGGACATCAACCTTTCGGTCCGATTCTCATGAAATCCTCGCAAAGGCTTCCCAGTCCTCCTCTCGCGGCGCATGGCCTCATCCGGATCCTCTCCTCAGTGCCGCCCGCCCGCCTTTCAAAACACAAACAGCTCTTCATCTTGCTCGCTAGGCCACGGGCACACAAATATATAATAAAAAAAAACCCACATGTTCCAAATGGCAAAAGGTTTCATGTCAATCATGTAAGTAATAAGTAGGAAACTGCATCAATCGTGTAAGTAATAAGTAGAAAACAGCACGTGTTTTGCACGTGTGGCACATTTGCACACGGTGAGTCGGATTGGCTTGCTTGGGGAGTTCAAGCTACAACCACCCGACCTGAGGTCTTGAACCCTGAGCCCAAAACTGGCCTTCCTTAGCCTAAGGACATTGATGTCGAACCACCTGCCGGAGGTGGGATTCGTTTTTGGCTTCCCTTTAAACCAACCTGAAAAGTGCACTTTGTTTCGTGCCTGTTTTTTTTTGTTTCCAGTTGTTTTCCCTCAAAATACACACACACACACAAACCCTATTTGAAAGCCCACTCGCCCGCGTGGTGCCTTTCGGGGTAGTCGGCAACACCTTTATCTCTGTTGCTGCAAAGATTCTGCGCAGGTGCTCCATGTAATTGGCGGCAGCCCCTCTTAAGAACTCTGGCACCTCCTTGCAGCGTCGCCGCCGTGACTGTTGTGACCCTACATGGCTCTAAACAAATGGGTTCCCTTCGGATGCTACACCCATGATTGTCCTTTGGTGCAAGCTGGACCTCGTTTCTAAGAAAACTTCAAGCGGATCCCCTGACTCTTGCCAAGGGCCGGTTGGGTCTTTTAAACCTCCGCGCTCAACTTGGATATGTCTTGTGCAAGGTGTTCTTTTTTTCAGGTTGGTTTAAAGAAAGAATAACACTTCCCATTGGCTTCTCCCAAGCTTCCCGCTCGGTTCTTTTGATATTGACACCTGTCGGGAATTCTTTGGCCAATCGGTTCCAAGAGCAATCTTGCTCTTGAGCCCCACATGTCCCTCCCAAATTCACCATAGATGACTGAAGAGGTTGACCGTACCTATGGTACCCCCTCCAATGGCCAGGTTCCTCTTTGGTTTACTTGTTTGAAAGCCATGCCAAACAGGGCTCCTCACTATTGAAAACAATCTACTTGCCCAGATGAAAAACCGGGGTTTGACCCCGGGTTTTGATGCGGAGGTGCGACCAACCCCAAAAATGGGAAACACCAAATTGGCGGATGCAAAGGGATCCCTGCCCCTGCGATTTTATTGCCCATATGGTTGTTTAGATTCGTTCTTTGTTTCTTCCGAAGGGATCTTTCAGCATCCTTCCGTTGCCCCCAACCTCAAAGAATACTCTAGAAGGAACTCTGCTCCCCATTGGGGTAAATAGAGGCTCTGGAAAGATTAAAAACCAAACCCATCCCCTTCCGGTTTCATTTGGGAGAAGGTGGGCTACCCAAAGGAAGAACATTCGGGTTTGTCTCAAACCGGACCTCCTAAATTCAAGGAAAGAAAAGACATGGTAGCTACGAAATCCTTCTCGTTTCCCAGGAAAGATCGAATCAAATCCGCAGGGAGAACCATCAAACTCTCAAAAACACAGTATGGTGAAATGTTCATTACTACTACCATGTCCTTACTCAGAACTCCTGGTAGCTCCTTACCTCCCTCTAAGGCAAATTAGGATAGCGCCACCTTCCACCCACCAAATAGTCTTTTCTCAACAGCTGAAAGCTGAGGGGTCTCTGCCCAAATGGTTATGGTTCGGAGCAGCCTTCGGTGAGAGTTTCGGAGGTTTCCAGAGGCGTGGGGTGCTGTAGATCCCTGGGCTTCTCATTTGGTCAAATTGAATATAGGTCTCTTGTTCGGGGGAAGGAATATGTGTCATTGTTGAGGCCATCCTTTGTTGCGGTTAAGGAAATGTTGAAACCAACCGAAAACAAACACCTCTCTGGGGCGGGAGGGGGGGGGAGAAGAATCGCCTGGCCCAAGGACTCCAGAATCGCGATGAGGTCTTGAGCCTGCGGGGAGCCCTTCATGGGACAGGGGAAATAACGCTCCAAATGGCTCCAAAGGCGGTTTGGGTTCTGGAATTTGTAGTGTGTTGTTAGGATTGCAGAAAGCAGTTGCTGAATCGTGTCTAACTGCCAGGCTGTGCAGTTTTGCATGGTTCTTGTTGCGAGTCGGCACTTTTGGGCCAGCAAGTGTGCGCTTTGAGACGGCAGTTGCAGCAATCCGGCATCGAAGCAGAATGGTTTTAATTACCGTCGCACGGCAAGGTCTCGTGGGACTGGCGACCTCACTCAGCCGCCAGCAGAGCGGGCTGCGGCACGCCAGGAGATCAGTGTGATTCAGCAAAGGTAGCCGAGCGCTAGCAGCAGTTTGCTGGTTGCTGGTGCGTGTTTGACAGGCAGCAAGGGAGCCTTCATGGTTGCAGCCTACTGGTTACGACCTACAACGACCGTCCCGGAACCATCCCGGAACTGAAAATAACCCCAAACCTAGGATTGGCTCACATGCCTCATGACCCAGGTGAAAGGGAACCTACCCAATCTCCTATTTGCTAGGGTTTGAAGGTCAAATTTTGGTCTGGAACCCACTAAGCGAAAGGGGATTCAAAGGGTGCTGCTGAACAACTAAGTAGGGCGTAAGATTAGCGGTTTCCAAACTGAACAGACCCAAAAGCGAAAACACAAACTGACCATCCAAACAAGCCTAACTTTGACATCCCGGATTCAAGCCCACCAAAACGCCTTCCCGGCAAATGAATTGCCCCTGTTCAAGCTAAACATGTCAGTGTCTGATGTCGGACCCCCAGATTTCGGTTGTGTTAGAGCATTCTGAGCAACATCACCTAGTTGACTTCCGTTGGATCATTGGTGCTTGGGGGTTGGACCATTCTCAAGCCCTGAGGGCAGTTCAAATAGAATGAAATCTCGACATTTGCGGGCCATTGGGTGAACAACTCTCCGGTGAGGCAACCAAGTCAACATACCTTTTGAGCCTCTTGAGCAGACAATCCCGGAGGTCTCCTTAGTTTTGCGGGCTAATTGAAATGCGGGTTCTTGGATTCAGGCAAAAAGGAGCGGATCCGCAAATTGTATCAGTGCAACCACTCGAAACCTGTAGACTAATGCAAAGAGCAAAGTCATTGTGGGGGCGTGGGAGTTTGGATGGGCGAATATATTTCAGCCCCTTGTATTATTCACATTGGCCCCTTGTATGGGAGCTTCTCCAAAATGGTGCAGCCCTTTTTGGTTGGAGTGTAAAGGGAAACCAAAAGGACCCCAACCATTTTTAAGGTGACCATTTTCAAAAACAGCCATATATGGTACCGTGTTCCGTGTTGCTACCCCCCCCCCCCCCCAGATGGTATGGGTTTTCCAGGACCCCCGACACCTCGGCCCGAGACCCCGAGCCCCCGGATCCTGGCACCAGCGGTCCCACCCCCACCCCGGCCCCCTGAACTCGCACCCCGACACCCCGGAAACCCCACCCCCAGGACAAGCCAACCCGCAACCAACCATAAACCAACCCTAAACTAACCCTAAACCTAAACCAAACCCTAAACCAAACCCTAAACTGTAAACCTCTAAACCTAAACTAACCCTAAACTAACCCTAAGTACACCCTAAACCAAACCCTAAACCATAAACCCTAAACCTAAACCAACCCTAAACCAATCCTAAATCAACATAAACCAACCCTAAACTACCCATAAATACACCCTAAATACACCCTAAACCAATTCTAAACCAACCCTAAACCAACCCTAAACCAACCACAGGACCACAACCACAGGGGGGGTTACTTGTCTGACCATTGGCGTGGGGGGGGGCTGGCAACGCCGTACCGTACAAGGGGTTGATCAAAAGGTCCTTGGATGATATGTCCCTCTAAACAGGAGAAGCTAGCCATGGTCATTTGGGGGCCAGGATTGATCAACCCCCATGTTGACTGTGATTCTATCGCCCAATGGACCCGGCCTCCAAAAGGTCCGCCTTGGTCAGGAAGGTCAAAGCACGGCCCGGCAGGCTGCCGCGCCCGGCCAAACGCACCCGCAGCCTGGCGAAAAAAAACAAAAAAAAAAAAAAAAAAAAAACCCTCAGCTGCGAGGACAAACCGGGGCCTCCTTGTTCCTCAGCTTCCCCCCAATTGGTGGTTTGGTGTTTGTTTCCCCCGCAAACATCACTTTCGTGGTTCAGCTTCCCCCTAATGGCTTGGGGCCCTGTGGTTTGGTGGCTAAGGGGCAGGTTCCCATTTTACCCTCGACAATCACCAAGGGTTCAAATCACCAAACCACCAAAACCACCAATTGGGGGCTACCTGAATGGTGGGTGAACTATGAGAAAAAAAAAAGGCCAAACTTGGAAAGGAGCCTTAACGAGTTTGTCGCAAGCCAAAACCTCGCCGCAATGTGCCAAATTAAGCGGCGCCGAAACGCAACATCCTCTGCAAACAAGCAACAGTTGGAACCTTTCATGATGCTTTCACGGCCACACGTTGCATCTTCGTTGCTTCTTTAAGGAACGCTTTCGCGGATCTTTTGCGGCGGGGCCATCTTCATGGACTGGTGCGACAAGCTCTTTCTTTTTTCGCTCGGTGTTTAACATACAAAGAAGCGAGCAAACAGGATGTGGGCACCTTTTACGAGGCAGTTGGAGCTTTCGCAATGCTTTCGCGAAACTTTCGCGGAATTCCGCTGCATTTTAAATTTCGGCTGAGCTCAAAAGGGACTTGACGCTGTTCACGATGACCAGCACAGCCCGTCCTCACGTTTTGCGACGCTTTCGCGGTCGAAAGTTTTCGGGGGCTTTCGTGCCCTGTGCTTAAGCTTCTGCGAGGCCTTGCCAGGAGAAACCGCCAATCAATCCTTTGCGCGTGGGTTCTTGCCGCTGAGATGGTTCAAAGAACCAAAACCCTGGGAACCGCCAAGAGACTGACTGAGAGATTACGCAAGTTGCATTGAGAAGCTGCCGTCTGAGAAGGCGTGGCTGAGAAGACAAGGACGTGTGTGTGTGTGTGTGTGTGTGTGTGTGTGTGTGTGTGTGTGTGTGTGTGTGTGTGTGTGTGTGTGTGTGTGTGTGTGTGTGTGTGTGTGTGTGTGTGTGTGTGTGTGTGTGTGTGTGTGTGTGTGTGTGTGTGTGTGTGTGTGTGTGTGTGTGTGTGTGTGTGTGTGTGTGTGTGTGTGTGTGTGTGTGTGTGTGTGTGTGTGTGTGTGTGTGTGTGTGTGTGTGTGTGTGTGTGTGTGTGTGTGTGTGTGTGTGTGTGTGTGTGTGTGTGTGTGTGTGTGTGTGTGTGTGTGTGTGTGTGTGTGTGTGTGTGTGTGTGTGTGTGTGTGTGTGTGTGTGTGTGTGTGTGTGTGTGTGTGTGTGTGTGTGTGTGTGTGTGTGTGTGTGTGTGTGTGTGTGTGTGTGTGTGTGTGTGTGTGTGTGTGTGTGTGTGTGTGTGTGTGTGTGTGTGTGTGTGTGTGTGTGTGTGTGTGTGTGTGTGTGTGTGTGTGTGTGTGTGTGTGTGTGTGTGTGTGTGTGTGTGTGTGAAAGGGGAGTTGAGTGGTCGTGTGATAGTGTGATAGTATGAGAGTGTGAAAGTGTGATAGCGTGCGTGTGTGTAATGTGTCTACATGCAGAGGTCCAACCCTGAAACCAATTAACGACACAGTAGTTTAGCTTGCTCTCCTGATTTGATGATGTGTTGGTTTTCCTGCGACTCCCGTACTTCCCAATGCAGAGAAAAACAAGACTGGTCACGTGAGACACAGTCAACATTACTTGTTTCTAGTAGAGGGCATGGGAGGATTGACCGGCCCCCTGTTTTTTTAGACATTTGGTGATTTCCCCCGCATCCGTTTCTCCCAGGTGAACGATGGACAATTCTCGAGATGTTGACCAAACCTCACGTCCCTCCACTTTAAAGGTCGAGCGGCAAGTACTCCAGGATGCTGGGCATATCATAGTTGATCAGCCACTGGACCTGTCAGCATTTAAACTAGGTCCTCCAGTAGAAAGGTTAGAATAAGGGTACCTTTTTTTCTGTAGTCTATTTTAGTAGGGGAACCCTCCCCCAAAAAGAGGTAAAAGGGCACTACTGGGGGACCTAGTAAAGAACTTGCAGGTCAGAAGGGTCATTGCAGGCTGTGGGAGATGCAGGGAGATACATTTCCACTTCTATGACACCACTGGCAGACCTTCCCAATGCCTAATTCTTTACTTTAGAGGGGCCCTGCCTACAACCCTGTTCGGGTGTTGCTTCTCACTGTATCGGGATCTCGAGCCAGGCAGCTCAGCACTTTGCTTCCGACTTCCAACCTCCAGGGCTCCGAATCCGAACTCCTGAGCCGTTTGCAGAGACTCCTCGCGAGACCATCCAAAAACCGCTGGTGATTTGTTATCGGACCGAGACCACCGGCCGAGACAGGGCGCCTTACAAAATCTTTTTGTCCAACAGCACGTCCCAAGATACCCGCGGAGCCCTCAACGACTCTTTTTAGGTTCTCCAGGCATCCCTGTGTTTGGGGGCAAAGGGTCCTTCCAAACCAAAGGATCCCGAATCCCCAAAGAGACAGCCTATCTTTTCGCCCCATCCTTCGGCACCTGTTTACAATAATTCTAAAACCTGAAGTGCGGGATCGCCAAGTAAAGGATCAACAGGTGCCCGTGTCAGCCTCGATCTTCCGAGCCCGCGCCTTGGGAAACACCACCCCACGGCCCAGCATGGTCGTGGCCTCGTTTCTTCGGCCAAAAAAGTGCCAGGGGAAACAGACACCTCCCTTTTTGCTGGTGAAAGGTGAACCTCCAAGGAGTAAACAGCTGAAACAAAAAGAATGGGTCAGTGGGATTTCAGCATGCCCCCAACTCTGAACAAGTCGGAGTGCAGGAAAGGGGAACCATTGTGGAAGCCGCCTCGACATTTGCTGACTGTGAAAGAAAAGGATATATCTCTTGCAATGTTTGTTTGGTTCCAGGACGCAACAATCAAGTCATATCCATAGCCCCCTACCTCTCCTCCCCTTGAATTCACCTCTCCTCCCCCTGAAGAGTCCGGACCAGTCCGGATTCTGAAAAAGAACGTCTCCTCTCTCCGCAGCGTTCTTTGGCTCGTCTTTGACGAGATCCAGTCGCCCAGCTTTGCTCGGGCCGTGCGTTATCAGGCGAGGCTGTGTGTGCGTGTGTGTGTGTGTGTGTGTTGCTATCAGCTCAGTACCCTTTTCAGCTTGGAATGGGAAGTCAAGAGGACAACCGAAATTGGATCTGTTTTGACACACACCCGCGTGGCCAGAAGCCTTGGCAATGAGCGGAAACGAGAAACCAGGTGCCTTTGCATCCCGCTATCTATGCCCCCGCTTTGTGCAGGGCTCAGTTAGGTGCAATGCTCAAGTCCTCAGAGCGGAACCTGGGCGGGGCAAAGCTAAGTATGCGCGAACCAAAGGTGTGAAATCGGAGGAACACGTATATGGCCATGGGTCAAAAGCCCGTATCCAAAGCCCGTAATTCCAGTGAACATCCCACCCCAACCACTAAAGTAGACTAAAATGGGTTGTGCACCTACCCCAAAATGGTGACCCACAGCCGTATCATGCTTCACCAACCTGACCTAAAAGGACAGCGCGGGATGATTCGCAAGACGCGGGCTGGGAAGCACGAGCTTGTCAGGGAGTTCCCGAGGGGTGACCCACAAAAACAAAACGCATGTCTTTCGCCCTTTGAGCCTACCTCAAAGCACAAACCCGAGTTGCGAACAAGGAACATCTCCCTCCTTGGGTTCCATATATTAACCTGTAGGGATGTAAAGAACTAGACGTGGCTGCACCATGATTTCATCTTTCTTGGGGATCGCAGAATCTTTTTCGGCCCGACAGCAACCACATGTTTGGACCTCTTGCTGCCGTGTGTGTGTGATCTACCTGGATCTCAAAAAGTCCTCGAACAGTTTCTTCGCCACTAAGATGGTCTTCCCAAAGTAGGTCCAGGAACTCAGGGAGTGAGACGGATTACTAGAGGGCTGTTTCAAACCCCACAAGTGGCAACCTGAACTGTCCTTAAGTCAAAAGGGTAGGCCAGTAGGCCACTGTTGAGGGTTTCATTTTCTCCACCTTTAGGGGGGCCAAATTGTCAAAGAGCACTCAGATTGCAAATTACGGGGGATATGGGGATAGCCTCCCATGAAAGTGCAGTTTGACACCTGTAAGACTACCTTCCTTGAGAGGTGCCGGTTGCAGAAACATGGAGCTTGCCAGCAGCTAGTCCTTGGGGAGAATCACATAAGCCACGGTCTAAATTACTTGTTCCCGCAACAGGATATGGGGTGAGTTTGTGCGTCCTGGTTTGTCTGAGAAAATCATTTGAGCTCCTGGTTGTGGGGAATTCAGTGAGTTCCCACATGTCTGCTAAATAAACCACGGAATCCCGTAAATCTTAAGACCGGACCTCACATGGATCCTCCCAACCGAGCGCGCCTTGAGAGCTTTGGGTATTCGCCTGGTCAGGGAACGAGGAGTCGTGGCTTAAAATCTTCGGTGTTCCTTGGGTTTCCACCAAAAGTGTTCTTCCAAAGAACAACTACGCAAGTGGAGTTTCGCTCTTCGCTTTTGCTTTCCCTTTGCCCCCTTTGGTTTCCATGTGGTTTCCCTTTCCCTAGCCTTCCACGGTATTCTCCTTGGTTGCTCATTTTTTCTGATTGTCGTGTTTTGTCTTGTCTGATCCCCGCGGCCTATGGGGATGATGTTTCTCTGGGAGTTGCACGGCCCACTGCATGAAGTGTGCCTTTGGTTCTCCCTTTGGTTGCCCGTCGAAACCATCGACAAAAGGGCAACCCCGCAAAGGAAACAAAAAAACAAAGCAAGCCCATAATTGTCTGGAGGTAACAGGCGCAGTTCGCACATCCCGAAGCAAGATTGGTCACCTTTTTGGGATGGCGCTTAGAGGATAGCCACCCCGACCCAGAACTAGGATTCTGTTTTGGGTGAGCTCCAAAATTAAATCTGGAGGAACTCACCTTGTTTGCAACCGGCACCAATCCATTTGATGCAAACCCACTTGCTTTTCCGACCTCAAACCGGTTCGTTGACCTGCACTTCACCTTCCATTTGGTTCGGACCCCCTGGAAAAAATATTTCCAGTAGTGACAGATTCCCTTTACAACCAACAGGGGATGTTTTTTCTTAAGCAAATGGAAGTCACCTCTTGGTTGAAAACCAGTTGGGAGTGGAAAAACCCACTTTCCAGCATCCCATTTTCCTCTCAGCTGAGCTCGCCTCCCGACGCGACCTCAGCTCGAGGCGCCCCGATGGGTCTGGGGCCCCGTTTGGGTCGTTTTTGGAACCAAAATGGTTGCCTGGGGGAAGGGGGGGGGATCCTTTTTGGGTTTTCCAAGGCATCCAAACTCTGAGCTGGGATGTTCAAGAGTTCGAAGGTCCCGAGGGTGGAGTCCAAGGTAAAGACCGCCTCTTTGGCAACCTTAAAATGTGGGTTGGGCTAGGGGCGGGATTGTAGTTTGCTCACACCACAACCACAACCACACACTACCAGCGGCGGCAGCGGCGGCGAAACAAAGCTGAAGGCAATGCAGGGCGACTAATCAGATGGCTGGCATAGCAAACTGAATGTCCTGCCCTGAAAAGAGGAACCCAAAAGAAGGGATGCCCAAGATAAGCGCGTTTATCCTTAAAAATCGTACACTAAGCCCCTTTGTGATTTGCCAAAACATTGCCCAAGACCGATGCTGACTGGGCAAATATCCGCTGCCAAGATAGACTTATCTCAGGCGTTCCCTTTGTGAGTCAACAACTTGGACCTGGATTTCAGACCTCGGGAATATCAGAACGCGGAATGTGTAAACTGGGGGGGGGGGGCAAAACAATTTGGAAGGAGTGTTCCCTTCCAACCACAATGAACATGAAAAAAACAACTCCGAACAGAAATGCAAACAAAAATGGAGCCAAGCCCCCGCTTCAGCCCAAGCCGCGGCTTCTCGCGCATGGACACGGAGACGCGCTTGATCTTCATGGGCGACACGGGCGCGAACTCCACGGAACCGGCGGCGGCCTCGCGGCGGCGGCGATCGCCGAAGCCCGCGACCCGTGTAGATGTCCTGTGGAAAATAGATGGGTTTCCCTGGTAGATGATTGAACCACCAGGTAAACCAGGAATCGCCTTCTATGTTTCAAGCAAAACAACACAAAAGGACACCTATGAACACAGGCCTTGCATTTGTAGGTTCCTTAAGCTCTGCACATGGGTCTTTTTGGAGTTGATACCTGTCAATGACTAAGAGAAGATCTGCCTGGAGATCACACCATGGCTTGTTTTCCACTCACAGAACACCTTGTCAGCCCAAAGGATCGGGCGGGACTCACTATTACATTCAAACACCCAGAGTCCATGTTGCCATCTGGCCAAATTGGAGCTTGACAAGCGTGAGGGCCGCCTCAGGGCACCATCGGAGAGAGGGGTTGATGGTGGGCTTAGCAGCGCGGGTCCCAACGGACTTTCAGCTGGCAGATGTCTTGACCAAGGTGGTGAGGAACGTAAACACATGGTGATCTGCTAGGTCCGGCAGAGCCAAAGAGCGATCGGCAGTTGGCAGCACTGCCGGCATTTTTCTTCGTTCAGACCCTGTGCGTGTGGCAAGGCCATGCATCCTCGAGCCCCTCCATTGTTGCCATCGTGTCCTCTGCAAAGGTGCTTCTGCATACCCATGCGCGAATCATTGACTTGACGTCTTGACGTAGTTGCTCTGGCCTTTCCGAGATACCGACACAAACCATCCCCACGACTTCGTTATCAGTAGGGGTATTTGCATGTTATCCACATGGACCTAAAATTAAGGGAATCGGTTCTCATGGAATCACAAACCCATTCCCATTTTAGACAGACTTGAATGTGTCGTTGTAGGGACCCCCCCGCTGGGAAACCAAAACAATGTGGCTTCCCTTTTTAGCTTTCCGAAAAGAAGTGATTGCCAAAAAACCAAAAGAAGCCCCCACCCCCTCCCTTCTTGCAGGAAAAACCGCCGAACAGTTCCTTTCCGGTCAACCCAAACCACCCCCCCCCCCCAAAGCCCCAAAGCCCCGAAGCCCCGAAGCCCTGCACGCGGCCACCTCAGTGAGCTGCGCGGCGGCGGAGCTGGAGGCCACGGGCCCCTTCTTCGGGGGCGCGGCGGGGGGGGCGAAGTGCTTCACCGGCCGGGGGCTCGCCAGGTTGGCCGTGGCTTCCTCCAGCTCCTCTCGCCGACGCCACCCGGAAAAGGGGAACCCTTTTTTCTCACCCTCCAAACCTTTTTTTTCAACCCTTCCCTGTTTTTTCAACCCTTCATCCTTTCTATTTAACCCTCCCCCCGTTTTTTTAAACCCTCCCCCCTTCTTTTTTAACCCTCCCCCCTTTCTTTCTGACCCTCCACCTCTTCCTTTTAACCCTCCATTTCTTTTTTGCCAACCCTGTGGCCGAAGTTTGCGGCAACTGCACTAAGCAACGGTCCAGGGTTGGGTTGGTTTAGGAGCGGCTTTGGATTTAGGGTTTATTTAGGGTGGGTTCGGGCGGGGGTGGTAGGTGGGTTTAGGGTTGGTTTCGGATGGGAAGGGTGGATTTAAGGGTTTTGAAGCGGGGTAGGGTTTGTTGAGCAAGTTTGTGGTCGGTTTAAGTTTAAGGTTGGTTTCGAGCAGGTCTGTGCTGGGTATATGGTGGGTTTAAAGTTGGATGAGGGTGGTTTTGGGCTTGGAGAATGGGT